TGAAAGCACCAGGAAATAAATTAAGTCATACGCAGCTGTCATCCGTATGCAAGGGAGTAAGGACAAGATCCCGAACACCCTTAGCAGGATGCAGCGCACCCTTGATGCGACTCGCCGAATACCTCACGGCGCTTCGCGCTTGGTGATGTGAGAGCCTGGTCCGGTGAGAACCCGGCGTGCTCCGTCCCGGCTTTGTAGGGATGCGAGGTCAATGGTATAACGACTACGGCATGCACGACTATGAGTACCCCCCCCACCACCACCACCACCCAACCGCAAAGAGCTGCATTTTCCTCCCGATAAAAATTGTCTCGGGAACCACCACCCCACCCCACTCGCCTTGGCCTGACAGCACAAAAACACCAACTCAATGCCACCATCCTTCGAAAATTTCAAAAACAAGTGCGCCTTACCTCCCGCCCGGGGGCTGCTTCCCGCGTCCGCAACACCCTCACCCTGCGCATCCACCTCGCCCCTGCTGCCCGGGCCGAAGAAGTGGCCTCCACCGCCACCGCCGCCGCCAACGCCGCCACCGTCTCGGCTTGGCGCCGTCGCGACAACCCGCGGCGTCGGGGACATGAAGCCCCCGGCAACACCTCCCTCACCCGCGGGAGGGTCTGCTCCCTTGCTAGTCAAACCTGGGGTCGCCGCCGCCGCCGCCGCCGCCGCCGCCGCCGCCGCTCCGCCTGAGACGGGCGCCCCAGATCGCGTCGGCGAGGAGAACGTGAAACGCCTCGTGGGGGATCCAAATGTGAACGGACTCTCCCCCCCCCAATTTCCTCTACCGCGGGGCCCCTCGGCTGGCGCTGAGTCCCCCGTAAGGGGCGCCTTGGCTGCGACCTCTCGTTCGTCCCTGTTCTCTGTAGGCGATGAAGATGTCGCCGCGGCTAGCGCCATCGAAGCCGCAGCCGGAACCGGTGCCCCAAACACGAACCCCCCCCCTCCTCCGGACGCGCCGCTGGTCCCTCCCAAGATGCCCGCCCCACCCAACACGCCAGACGCCACCACCTTATCCTCTTGCCCCGGCCTTACGGCCTCGCACGACGCGCACTTCAACACTGCCTTGGCGTTTGACACCAAGCACGCGGCGCACTTCCAACCACCTGCTTGGCTCATTAGCAGAGACGCAAACCCGGCGTCCTTCGGTGCACGTCCGACGGCGTCGGGGCTGCTCTCGTCCCCTTCCCCCCACTCGTCGTGCGATGATTCCTCCTCGCCGAACAGCCAGTCCATGTACCACGCCAAGAACGCCTGCCTCTCCAACCGGCCGGCCGTGCAGATCGCCAACAGTTTCGGCTTGTGGTCCTCCACGGCGTAGGTGGTGCCNTTCACTATCATTATCGCTGTCGACATCCGAGCCGTCCGCCACAAGTGCGGGCTCGCCCTCGGCCGTATCGACGGACACCACGCCAAGAGCAGGCGCCGTGTCGGTGGCTGAGGCCGACGACGACTTGGCCGCCACCGGCGCGCCAAACGTCAAACCTCCCGCTGCGTTTGTCCCCGCGCTAGGCTGAAATGAAGCGGCGGGTGACGGTGTAACCCCTGAGGGAGCTCCGAAGGAAAGCCTCCCGCCACTGCTGCCAGCCGGAGCAGTTGCGGACGCCGCGGCCGTTGTGGCAACGGGAGCGACGGGCGACCCGAACGTAAAGCCACCCGTGGGCCCGCTGCCCGACCCTCCCAAGATGCCGGCCCCGCCTGCCGCGTTAGATGCGGCCACTTGATCCTCTTCCCCTGGCTTCGCCGCCTCGCACGACGCGCACTTCAAAGTCGCCTCGGCGTTTGACACCAAGCACGCGGCGCACTTCCAACCACCCGCCTGCCGCTTCACCAGAGCAGCAAACCCGGCGTCCTTCGAAGCCTGCCCCGTGGCAGTCCCACTGGCTTCTATCTCCCCTTCGTCGTGCGATGATTCCTCCTCGCCGAACAGCCAGTCCATGTACCACGACAAGAACGCCTGCCTCTCCAACCGACCGGCCGTGCAGATCGCGAGCAGCTTCGGCTTGTGGTCCTCGACGGCGTAGGTGGTGCCGACCGCTTCCATCAGCGCCTCGAAGTGGCTCTCTTCCACCCACCCCTTGGCGGCGCTGTCGACCTTCGTGAAAGCCTTCTCGGCCTTGGCCTCCTCCTCCCTGCGCTCCTCCTCGTCCCCGCTCTCTTCAGTGGTATCACTGTCGCTGCCACCAACGTCAACTGACGAGCCAGAGCTGATAGCAACCGCGTGCTCATCCGCCGCTGGGCCGGGCAGCGCCCCGCACGTGAAGCCGCTGGTCGAGCTGCCGCTTGTGAAGCCCGCGCCACCGGCCGAATCACCTCCAATGCCCCCCGAGCCAGCACAAGGCTTGCTCTCCGGCTCCTCAGCGGGGACTGCGCCGGTTTGAGCGGGCGGCGAAACTCCGAAGGAAAAGCCTCCCGCGGCGTTTGTTGCAACAGCAATAGTGGAAGAAACCTTGCCCGTCTCGGCCACCGCCACCACAGCGGTATTGCACGGAGTTCCGAAGGTGAACCCACCCGCAGACCCACTGCTGGGACCTCCCAAAATGCCCGCCCGAACATTACCCTCTTCCCCTGGCTTTGCCGTCTCGCACGACGCGCATTTCAAAGCCACCTCGGCGTTAGACACCAAGCACGCGGTGCACTTCCACCCACCCGCCTGCCGCTTCACCAGAGCAGCAAACCCGGCGTCCTTCGATCCCTCAGCGGCCACGCTTGGTTTAAGCTCCCCCTCCTCCTCCGATGACTCCTCCTCGCCAAACAGCCAGTCCATGTACCACGTCAGGAACGCCTGCCTTTCCAACCGGCCGGCCGTGCAGATCGCCAGCAGCTTCGGCTTGTGGTCCTCCACGGCGTAAGTGGTGCCGACCGCTTCCATCAGCGCCTCGAACTGGCTCTCTTCCACCCACCCCTTGGCGGCATTATCCACCTTGTCGAACGCTGCCTCCGCCTTGGCTCTCTCTTCCCGACGCTCCTCCTCGTCTCCGCTATCGCTATCACTGCCACCATCACTATCATCGTCGGAGTTGCTGGCCACTACTGTTGGCTCTACCTCGGCCTTATCGGCCGGTACAATCGCAGGGGTAGCAGCTCCTGTGTCAGCCGCTGAGGCCGCCGTTACCGGCGCGCCAAACGTGAAGCCTCCCGCCGAGATGATCCCCGCGCTAGGCTGCAATGAGACCGCGGGTGAGGGTATAGCCCCTGGGGCAGCGGAAGTAGCTCCGAAGGAAAACCCACCGCCACTGCTGCCAGTCGGAACAGCTGAAGACGCCGCGGCCGTCTTGGCAACGGGAGCAACGGGCGACCCGAACGTGAAGCCCCCCGTGGGGCCGCCACCAGACCCTTTGAAGACGCCCCCGCCTGCCACACTAGACGCCCCGACCTCACCCTCTCGCCCCGGCCTCACCGTCTCGCACGACACGCACTTCAGAGCCGCCTCGGCGTTAGACACCAAGCACGCGGCGCACTTCCACCCACCCGCCTGCCTCTTCACCAGAGCAGCAAACCCGGCGTCCTTTGACCCTTCACCCTTAGCGACCACCCTGCTTTCTACCTGCCCTTCCTCGTCCGATGACTCCTCCTCGCCGAACAGCCAGTCCATGTACCACGACAAGAACGCCTGCTTCTCCAACCGGTCGTCCGTGCAGATCGCCAGCAGCTTCGGCTTGTGGTCCTCCACGGCGTAGGTGGTGCCGACCGCTTCCATCAGGGCCTCGAACTTGCTCTCTTTCACCCACCCCTTGGCGGCGGTATCCATCTTGTCGAAGGCCGCCTCCGCCTTGGCCTGCTCTTCCTTGCGCTCCTCCTCGTCTCCGCTATCGCTGTCGCTGCCACCATCGTGGTCGGAGCTATCGGCCACTACGACCTTGGCTGTTGCTACCATAGCGGCGGAAGGTCCTGCTGCAGGCGCTGAGGCCAACGATTCGGTCACCACCGGCGCACCAAACGTGAAGCCTCCCGCTGCGTTGGTCCCCGCGCTAGGCTTCGACGAAGCGGCGGATGAAGATGTAGCCCCTACCACGGCGGGAGGAGCGCCGAAGGAGAAGCCCCCGGCACCGCTATCAGCCGGAACAGTTCCCGCAGTCGCTGTCTTGGCAACGGTAGGGACTGGTGCCCCAAACGTGAAGCCCCCCGTCGGGCCGCCGCCCGACCCTCCCAAGATGCCTGCCCCACCCACCGCACCAGACGCCACGACCTTACTCGCTCGCCCCAGCCGCACCGTCTCGCACGACGCGCACTTCAGAGCCGCCTCGGCGTTAGACACCAAGCACGCGGCGCACTTCCACCCACCCGCCTGCCGCTTCACCAGAGCAGCAAACCCGGCGTCCTTCGATCCCTCAGCGGCCACGCTTGGTTTAAGCTCCCCCTCCTCGTCCGATGACTCCTCCTCGCCGAACAGCCAGTCCATGTACCACGACAAGAACGCCTGCCTCTCCAACCGGTCGTCCGTGCAGATCGCCAGCAGCTTCGGCTTGTGGTCCTCCACGGCGTAGGTGGTGCCGACCGCTTCCATCAGGGCCTCGAACTGGCTCTCTTTCACCCACCCCTTGGCGGCGGTATCCACCTTGTCGAAGGCCGCCTCCGCCTTGGCCTGCTCTTCCTTGCGCTCCTCCTCGTCTCCGCTATCGCTGTCGCTGCCACCATCGTGGTCGGAGCTATCGGCCACTACGACCTTGGCTGTTGCTACCATAGCGGCGGAAGGTCCTGCTGCAGGCGCTGAGGCCAACGATTCGGTCACCACCGGCGCACCAAACGTGAAGCCTCCCGCTGCGTTGGTCCCCGCGCTAGGCTTCGACGAAGCGGCGGATGAAGATGTAGCCCCTACCACGGCGGGAGGAGCGCCGAAGGAGAAGCCCCCGGCACCGCTATCAGCCGGAACAGTTCCCGCAGTCGCTGTCTTGGCAACGGTAGGGACTGGTGCCCCAAACGTGAAGCCCCCCGTCGGGCCGCCGCCCGACCCTCCCAAGATGCCTGCCCCACCCACCGCACCAGACGCCACGACCTTACTCGCTCGCCCCAGCCGCACCGTCTCGCACGACGCGCACTTCAGAGCCGCCTCGGCGTTAGACACCAAGCACGCGGCGCACTTCCACCCACCCGCCTGCCGCTTCACCAGAGCAGCAAACCCGGCGTCCTTCGATCCCTCAGCGGCCACGCTTGGTTTAAGCTCCCCCTCCTCGTCCGATGACTCCTCCTCGTCGAACAGCCAGTCCATGTACCACGACAAGAACGCCTGCTTCTCTAACCGCCCGTCCGTGCATATCACCAGCAGCTTCGGCTTGTGGTCCTCCACGGCGTAGGTGGTGCCGACCGCTTCCATCAGGGCCTCGAACTGGCTCTCTTTCACCCACCCCTTGGCGGCGGTATCCACCTTGTCGAAGGCCGCCTCCGCCTTGGCCTGCTCTTCCTTGCGCTCCTCCTCGTCTCCGCTATCGCTGTCGCTGCCACCATCGTGGTCGGAGCTATCGGCCACTACGACCTTGGCTGTTGCTACCATAGCGGCGGAAGGTCCTGCTGCAGGCGCTGAGGCCAACGATTCGGTCACCACCGGCGCACCAAACGTGAAGCCTCCCGCTGCGTTGGTCCCCGCGCTAGGCTTCGACGAAGCGGCGGATGAAGATGTAGCCCCTACCACGGCGGGAGGAGCGCCGAAGGAGAAGCCCCCGGCACCGCTATCAGCCGGAACAGTTCCCGCAGTCGCTGTCTTGGCAACGGTAGGGACTGGTGCCCCAAACGTGAAGCCCCCCGTCGGGCCGCCGCCCGACCCTCCCAAGATGCCTGCCCCACCCACCGCACCAGACGCCACGACCTTACTCGCTCGTCCCAGCCGCACCGTCTCGCACGACGCGCACTTCAGAGCCGCCTCGGCGTTAGACACCAAGCACGCGGCGCACTTCCACCCACCCGCCTGCCGCTTCACCAGAGCAGCAAACCCGGCGTCCTTCGATCCCTCAGCGGCCACGCTTGGTTTAAGCTCCCCCTCCTCGTCCGATGACTCCTCCTCGCCGAACAGCCAGTCCATGTACCACGACAAGAACGCCTGCTTCTCCAACCGGTCGTCCGTGCNGTCTCTTCCACCCACCCTTTGGCGGCGGTATCCACCTTGTCAAAGGCCGCCTCCGCCTTGTCCTGCTCTTCCTTACGCTCCTCCTCGTCTCCGCTATCGCCGTCGCTGTCACTATCATCCTCGGCGTTGACAGGAGATTCTGTTGGCTCCACCTCGGCCTCATTAGCCGACGCGATCGAAGCGGTGGAGGTTCCTGCGGCGGGCGCTGAGGCCGACGACTTGGCCGCCACCGGCGCGCCAAACGTGAACCCTCCCGCCGAATTGGTCCCCGCGCTAGGATGCAACAAGGCGGCGGATGAAGACCTAGCCCCTGAGGCAGGCAAGGGAGCCCCGAAGGAAAACCCCCCTCCAGTGCTGCTAGCCGGAGCAATTGAAGACGCCGTGGCCGTCTTGGCAACGGGAGGGACGGGCGACCCGAAGGTAACCCCCCCCGTGGGCCCGCTGCCCGACCCTCCCAAGATGCCCGCCCCACCCAACACGCCAGACGCCACCACCTTATCCTCTTGCCCCGGCCTTACGGCCTCGCACGATGCGCACTTCAAAACCGCCTTGGCGTTTGACACCAAGCACGCGGCGCACTTCCAACCACCCGCCTGGTGCCTCACCAGAGCAGCAAACCCGGCGTCCTTCGGTGCTCGCCCGACGGCGTTGGGGCTGCTCTCGTCCCCTTCCCCCCACTCGTCGTGCGATGATTCCTCCTCGCCGAACAGCCAGTCCATGTACCACGCCAAGAACGCCTGCCTCTCCAACCGGCCGGCCGTGCAGATCGCCAACAGTTTCGGCTTGTGGTCCTCCACGGCGTAGGTGGTGCCGACCGCTTCCATCAGCGCCTCGAACTGGCTCTCTTCCACCCACCCCTTGGCGGCGCTGTCGACCTCCGTGAAAGCCTTCTCGGCCTTGGCCTTCTCCTCCCTGCGCTCCTCCTCGTCCCCGCTCTCGCCAGTGGCATCAGCGTCGGCATCGTCCTCCTTGTCCGAGGATGTGCCGCCAGAACCGGTTTCGCGCACAACGCCAGCAGGAACACCGCCGTCGCCGCCGCCCTGGTCGGCCACCGCCGCCGCATCGACCGCGGCTGCTTTCGGTTTTCCTGCTGCTGGGACGCCGCTACTGCTGTAATCGCTGCCGCTTCTCGACCGCGGCGGTCGTCCTCCCGAGCCCACGGCGGCCTCGCGGGCGGCCCCGGCCGCGCCCGCCGCCTCTCGCTGCTCCCTCCTCGCGCCCGCGTACCATTCCAGGAACCGGTCGCGGGGGAGCCGGGGGACGCACAGCTTCAGCAGGGCCTGCCCGTGCTTCTCCGTCTCGAACGGCAGCCCGGCGCTGCCGACGAGGGCCTCGAACTCCTCCCGGCCGACCCACCCGGTGCCCGCGCCGTCAAGCCGGTCGAACGCCGCCCCCGCCGCGCCGCCGTGGGGCCTCGGGCTGGAGCCGCTCCGCCGCCGGCCCGACGAGGGCGTGAGAGCGACCACCCGAGCCGCCACCACGGAGAGGTCGCGCGGGGGAGTCGCAAAGTAGCGGTTGTGGACGGGGGGGGTGCTGAAGCCATCCTTACTGCCGCCGCCGCCGCTCGTGGAAGGCGCGGCGGCGCCCGGCGCCGCGGCGCTTGCGAAGTTGGGAGGTCCAGACGCAATAGCAGCCGCCAGGGAACCGAACGAAGACGCCACGGACTGGACGCGAGGCGTGCCTGGGAGCCCCGAAGAGGCCGCACCGGCAGCGGGAAGACCACCGCCGCTTGGCTTCGCTTTCACTGCCACCTCCTCGCCCGCCCTCTCGCTGTCGCTTTGAGCAGTCACGGGGGAAGCGCCAGCGCCAGCTTGGCCGAACGACGGAACCACCGGGGTCTTCGGCCCAGACCCGAAGATTCCCCCGCCACCGCCACCGGATCCACCGCCTACGGTACCACCTCCAAAGCTTGCGGCGGCGCCTCCAAAGCCTGTCGATGAGAAAATCGACCCCGTCCTTGCCGCGGAGGGGGTTCCGAGGTTCGATGGCCGGCCAAAGATCGGGGCGGAGGCGAGGGGGGTTGCCAGACTAGAAGACGCGAACATACCCCCGGTGGGCGGCGGGACACCAGCTGAGGTGGCTGCGCGCTCAACTTCGGTCCCGTCCTCCTTGAGCTGCCCGCAGCGGGAGATCACCACCTATGAGGTACGTTCGGCGGCGGAACGAACCGGTGGTCGAGGGCAAGGAAAACGCGAGCGGGAAAAGACCGTTAGCTTAACCGGGGGAAGCCAGCGGAAGGGTCAAGTGTCAAACCACCCACGTCGCTGTAGTGAGCCCAGCGGGGGCCTCCAGCAATAACTTGTGTTCTGGCTGCTGTTATTCACAGCAACGATACTTTAGGGAACGAAAGCGTGCGCCTGCGGCCACCTTATCGGGATCGCGTGTCCACGATAATGTGATCTAAAAAGCACAAAATAGTGACAACAACAACTCGAAAAAACGTGACAGATTCCCGCATTCCACAATTGACCATACCCTCGGTGACAGCATTGTTATTGCACCGGCCGTGGTTTTATTCTGTTGGGGGGTATGGTTTCTTCTGTGAAGGTGGCATCTTGTGTCAAGTACGGTAAGCACAGGTCGAGCACGGGGTAGGGTGAGACACTATGCTTACCCGCTGGTCCGGCGCCGGTTTCCCGTCTCTCTTGGGCTCAAGCAGCGTCACCGATTTCATGCGGTCAAGCACCTTAATCCCGCTCTCCACTTCCCCAAATACCACGTGCTTCCCGTCCAGGTGGGGAACAGCCTGAAAACGTCAGCGGAACGATTTGGCATGGGGGGGACGGGAGCAGAATAATGATTGCGTCACGAAGGGTCGTGAACAATCCGATGGGCAGTCCCGAGCCGAAGGGCAATCAAAACGTTTGGAAGAGCAACCGCAGCATTCGAGGCACACATCGAGAAGAAGCGAGCCTAAGGGGTAGTGTTAGATAGGGCGCACTTGCTTGCCCGACGTCCACCTCACAGGGAAAAAGCCGTTATCGCTCTCACGTTCCGCACAGAAGCGCATGCGCTTTTGGTGAGAACGGCAAAAGACAGCAAGCCACAACATAACATTTCGTGCGAAGCGACGGTTCGCGCACAGAGTAGATAGGAAACTCCATACAAGCGTGGCATATCGTGAATGCGCACGGCAGAGACGAGTGTTAAGGTTATCGGACTAGGACAAGGGACAGTGTCACGGTGAGGGTTAGGGTTTCTGTTTCCTCGTTCTCGCCTTGAGGGTGATGAAAAACTGGCTGTTGTTGGTGTTTGCGCCCTTGTTGGCCATGCTCAACAGTCCCAGCTTGTGGTGCCGCATGAACGGCTCGTCCTCGAACTTGGACTGCCATGAGTGGACATGTATAAATAGTGCAGAAGGGGGCAGGCCGAAAGATCAGTAGACTACGAATACGCGTCGCAAGACTCACGAGGAAGCTCCGCAACAGCGACAGCAGCGGCAGCAGGGGCAGTAATGGTCGCTATACGGGACGGAATGAGACAGACGACCGGTGACAGTCTACATGCCAGGAACTTCCTCGACCATGTTGCTCAACCTCTTGAAAAAAAAGCACGTTACCCTGCTGTGAAATCATCACACACACAGCTCGTTCAATGCATGCGACGGTTGGTCGTTGGATGTCCCCTTCGCACCCTACTGCGCATTCGTCGAGAACGAAGCTACAGTCCCACGGCAACACCGACACCCACCCCGTAGATGGAATTTCCCCCACGGCCGTCCCCCCTGGTGAAGTCGCCTCCCTGTACCACGAAACCGGGGATGATCCTATGGAACGCGCTTCCTTCGTAACGCAGCCCGCGTCCCTGGGCGAGAGAGACGGCCAAAATTTCCAGCAGACGCAGGAGACGGGAAACAAGAGTTATGACAATGCCTGGAACACTCAGTACTACCGACCCACGCAACAAAAATCTCAACAGCTATATCTACGCCTCCAACACTGCGTGTTGTACTACTGATCCACGAGCAACAAAAGGTGTCGTCGAAAAACGCGGTCCTCAAAACACCCGAGAGGCACCACGACCAGCGGCATCAGCTTACGCACGGCACTTCTCTCACTTTCTCCCCCGTGCAGAGCGCGCGGAAGTTCTCCGCAGCCTTGGGGGTCTTGTCGGCGAAGAGCCGGAACACCAGCCTCCCCACGGCCTCCCCGCCCACCTTCAGCCAGATACATACACGAGACAGACACGGCGGTGAGAAGCACAACAGGCTTCAGAGGCTAAAACAGGCAACGCAATTGTCCTCGGGAACTCTAACGGAAAGTAGTCCTCGATTATACAACACGCCTCGCGCCTTGCTTCGGGACATGCATCAAACTACTCCAAACAAACGAGAGCCCGACAGCATTGACGCGAAGGTCGACAATGCCAACCCGGAACACAAACGAGATGGCGAGAGCTGAACACAAAAGACAACACATACCGAAAATTTTGCGATCCGTGCCAGCTGCTACATATGCGGTACAAATCAACGGTGTCCCAGCGGAAAAAAGATGTCGCTCCGTGATCAACGCCGCTGCCCTGAAGCGCCGAGGATGCCAACTGTATCCTTGGCCTTTACCGAGCAAAAATAAAAACAAACATCACAACCAACAGAACCAAGGTGAAGGGAAACCCAAGGAAAAAGCCAACAACCCGTTTCCATACCTCGATATCCATGAAGCACAACGGGCCGTTGCCGGAAGCGGGAGGAAGGCCTGTAGCTGACACATACTTCTCCTCCAATCGCTGACCAATAAACGGTTTTGATGTACGGGCGACGCGAGGGGGGCGGTCGAAGCGCACAAAGAGAGGTGTGTACGAAAAGAGATAAGGGAAGGGAAGGGCACACGAGCAGCGGGACTGTCAACAAAAGCACGAGAGGTCTTCATGCGAGCGGACAACTGACCAGGCCACGGAAGGCAATGGCAGTGCCACACACGAGTCTCTTTTATCCGTTTGAGCTCCATCCCTACAGTAGAGTCAAGCCACCACGACAAGGCATCAACACCCGTCGATATCTCACGGCAACCTCTCCCCCCACTCTGGCTGCAACACGCAAGCACGATGCCCTTCACCGAAGGGTAGGTACCTGCAGCATGACGGCCCACCTCCCCTCGTACTTATCCAGGGTGTCATCTACCGTATGAAGCTTATCTCTATTGTGCTCCTCGTAGATCGCCACCACCTGGCGCAGTAAAGGTCATGGCAAAGCTTCAGCACCCATACCATCACATACACGCACACCTTCAACGGACATGTACTAAATCTAATCGGCCGCAACCAGACGAGAGGGGCGAAGAGCAAAGTACAAGAGTATGGAAGCAAGATGTCGCGAGCGGGTGCGCCTCTAGTTCGAGAGTTCGGCAAATAATGCCTGCGTCTCGCACGGGAGTCCGCGCCGAAACATGCCGCTATATCAGAAAAACGTCAGCATGCCTAAAGAAGACGCAAAAGGCCTGAAGACAACGCACATAAACCGCGTAGACAAGCGGGAGAGGCCACCAAGTTCTCGCCCAAACACCATGTATATTGCGCATGTGTAAAACAACCACAGAATAGAACTGTCGGAAGAACGAACGCCTCACAAACCACATCCCTCCCCCTGTGTATGCATACCCTCTTGGAAGACAGAGCGGCCATTTACAGAGGGCACCCAGCCAACCGTCTCACCTTCGCCCGTACCGTCCCCCGATCCAGTACCTCCTCGGCCCTGTCCTGGCTTCGAACTCTCGGCGCCCCCTCCAGGTGCTTGCCAGCGTCCCCGCCTCCTTCGCGCTCGGGAGCAGCAGCAGCAGCAGGCGCGGGGGGCGCGGCAACGGCTCGTTGGGTTCCCGGCGGCAACGGGGGGGTGTCCACCCCCCCCCTGCCGGGAGCCCGGGGACTAACCCCGTCCTCGGCGGGCAGCGACTTGGCGGTGTCGTCTGTTCGGTTCACATGAAGAGAACGGGGGGGGAGGCGGCCGTTCTCTCGTTCCTCTTGCCGGGACCGCAGCTTGCGCCTCCTCCCTTCCTCCTCCTCGCCGCCGTCGTCCTTATGCGCTTCCTCCTTCACCTGCTCCCTGCGCCAGGCCATGCGCTGCTCGAGCGTAGGCGCCGCGCCCATCGTGCGGCGGCGGGAGCCCTCCCGGGCCTTGGAGGCCTTCCTCCACAGCTCCTCCGCGCGTCGGAAGTGGTTGGTCTCCCCGCGGGTCGCCGGCAGAGGGGACGCCGCCTGTATCGAAAAGGAAGGTGGTGCTGTCGTTCTCAACGTTGTTGTTTCTGTGGTATCGTAGTTGTTGCTGCTGGCAATGGTGGCGGTTTCGCTGTTCTGGTTGTCAACGTTGTTTCTGTTGGTTGTGTCTGTTGCTGATGGTGGTGGTGGTCATGTCGTTGTCATCGCTGTTGTCGATGCCATTGTTTTGTTGTTGTTGTTGTTGTTGTTGTTGTTGTTGTTGTTGTTGTTGTTGTTGTTGTTGTTGTTGTTGTTGTTGTTGTTGTTGTTGTTGTTGTTGTTGTTGTTGTTGTTGTTGTTGTTGCGAGACTACAGTAGTGCTGAGGCGACGCAAGCGCGGTGCTATAATAGGCGGCACTACTTTGTCACACCTCCCGCAACTCTAACCAAGGGTCACCGGGGCGATAAATTCTAGCGTCGGGGTTGTACGGCGTTTCTCGTCGCACGCAGCAAGCGGCGGTGTTAGGCCATTGTGACGACACCACGCCACCCGACATCAATTTTTCCGAATAGGAAGGTGCGAGGATGAAATTGATCTTGCCATTTCCATGACCGCGCGCTATCATAAAAAAATTATGGTAAGGATCCGAGATAATGCACAGTTCGGTGATACCGCGCATACGGTACCACTGGTACCGTGCGATAACCACGATGATCGCACGGGGGTCTGCGATATCGCACGGGGGGGGGGGGGGTNGGCTCTCACATCACCAAGCGCGAAGCGCCGTGAGGTATTCGGCGAGTCGCATCAAGGGTGCGCTGCATCCTTCTAAGGGTGTTGCATACGGATGACAGCTGCGTATGACATAATTTATTTCCTGGTGCTTCACTTCCAGAGACAGTTGTAAGCTCTGTGTAACTGCCTCGAGGGTGCTTGACCAATTTAACACAACGTGGTGCGATCATCCCCCTTGCGCAGAGCGAGGGTTCTCCACCCCGCACAACATGGTCTACTCGACCACCATTATGGTTACCACCAAAAGAAAAAAAAACGAGGTAAAGAAAACAAAAAACGGTAACCTGGTAGCCGAGTTCACGAAGTTGGCTTGTTTTAGAACGTCGTTGCCAAGCGACGAAAACCCAACCCCGATCGTAAACACCGGGGGGGGGGCGGCTTGTTTTACAACGTCGTTGCCAAGCGACGAAAACCCAACCATCGCACGGGGGCGTGGTGTCACCGATACCGAGTGCCAGTCGCCGGGGTATTCACTGAGCCGGAGGTCCCTCGCGGTTTCATCGTGAAAGGCGTGTACGTATGAATGCGTGTGTGTTCTCTGTGTGCACGTGTTCTGCCGTACCGGCTGTGACATACTTGGTACCGCACGTATCGGAGTTTTCGAAAGGGGGTGTGCGTCGAAAGCACCCAGTACAGTACTACTGCCGAAGAGTTTATTGTCGACTCAGAATCGCACGTATTGGGGATATCGCACCCCGAGTGCGATAAACGTTCAGGGTCCATGTGGTCTAATTCGATTATCCATCAGGGAAGTGACATCGCACACAATGATTACGGTTGTGCCGCACACCCGTGCGATAAAAAGTCAACAGTGACAATCATTGAATATCGATCGCACCCCCGTGGGTTTTATCACATCTTCACGGTATGATCTAAGGCCTGCCAAATATAAGCGGTTTTATACCGCGCGTGACCCAAAACAAAAGCCGAAAATCCAGCACGCAAACCGCAAGTTCGTTTCGCCGCCCTCGGTCCCCTTGCTCACCGTCGCCGGCGACTCTGCGCGCCCCCCCAGCCAAGGACTCCCATCTTTGAACAAACCCCGCTGAGGCTCCGATGCCCCCGGGCCAGCACTGCCCGCCTTTTCTGCCAGTGGGGTCGTTGCCATGAAGCTGCTGCGTCTGCCTTCTCTCAGCCCCCCAGTGTCTCCGACACTGACGAAGGAGTTCCGAGCTGGAGGCGTCGCCATGTTGGAAAATGAGGCCCGCGGGCGGCGCCTTGGCACGCGTGGGGTTGCCCTTCCATCTTCCATTCCTAGGGGGTGGGGGGGGCACAACGAACGGTAAAAAGGTGAGAAGGAGTCGCCTATTGAGAACCTCACCCCGGCAGACTGCAGGCCACTGTGCGCGGCAGAGTGCCAGCTGGAGAGCGCACGACGTGTGTGCGGCCCGGCCAGCGGGGGGGAGGAGCACACAGCAGTGAGCAACTCCACCGGAGCAGTAGTAGATAGTTGACTGGCGGGGCATATGAAAAAAGGGCTGGCATCCATGAGGGCCGAGTAAAGACGCGCAGACGCTGGGTGTGCACATCTTCCTTACGGTGTGTCCCAGATGGTGTTTGTCTACACCAGTGCATGAACTTCCGAAGGTAGTACAATGTTATTTGTTTTGTAGCCCAGGGGCAGCGACGATTGGCGGAGAAACATACTCAAGGACAATGAAGTTTTCCCTTGCCGACGTCTGCATTTCCGCAGAAGATCACAACAGAATTCCTCCTACGTCCCATGAGATGCATGATTCACCTCTGCTCCCGATGCAGATCGCATTGAAGATAGAGGGCTACTGTACATATATCACTACCGTAGGGGGCAACCGGATCCTAACACCAGGCCGACGAGTCAAGTTCTCGTGTCGGGGGGAAATGGCGGTTGGCCGATTCGTATTCGTCGATTTTGTGTTTGAATTCGTTGTGGCCACACACGTATACCACCAGACTGGACATAAAGCGTCATCATTACATCTCTAGGACGGTACGCAAGCAAGAACATCCCACTCACACACACACTCGTGCAATCCGTTTTTGTCTCTCACGCCCTCGAGACGCGGGCGGCGACAACAGCATCCCCTAGAGCGTTGTAACTTGTCCGATGACCCCCGGACATGCTCCGCTGCTTCCTGACAATAAGCTATGAGGATCTTCTACCTTCCCATTCAAATAACACCGTCCTACCTCACGATCCTCGGCGGAGAAGTCCTCCGCACAGAGGTGAAACCCTTTTCCGGACAAGCTCTCCACTCGTGAGAGCGAGCGGGATCGTGTGGTGCCGTGCCTGCGTGAGTAGGCGAGAGACTGTCCAAGGGGGACAGCAATGCGGATTTCGAGGATTCGTGCCGGGGGTGTGGGTGTGTTAGGGGTGCCGTGTATGCAAAACCACCGACCATCCAGTCGCGGTTGCACACGAACACCACACGAGCAGATCAGACAGGAGAGCCACCACAGCGATGACATGGTCGGAAGCGAGACTGCGAGGGAGCTACGACAGGTGAAGGAAGGCGTGCACCTGCCCCTGAATTCGTGCGGTATGCCTCACCGAGTTTAATGTAGTACTAAAGCAGTGGTGGTTGATATTGTGCACGTGGATTCACAACAGCAGTTGAGACCACCACCTGTCTGCAGCAGTAGTACTGCTGTTGTAGTCGTCTACAGCTGTGCACCAGTACCTAGCTTACCGTAGGGCGCAGCAAGAGGCGAACAGCAGCATTGCGTCCATTATTTCAACATGCAGTTTCACAGTACGACGCTCTCAGCGTTTTTGTGTGTGGCTGGTTGAGCTCCCATTATCCTTGGTAGTTCCAAGCGAACGCACACCAAGCAGCAGGGCATGATGATTTGGGCGGAGATACTTGAACGCCTGTTGCGTTGCGGCGACGAAACATCCACTGTCCACCTGACCTTCGTTGACTGCCTACAGTACGCACACCACGGTGACGGACACTGCCTGCATCATACACCATTGCCTGCCGATCCAAAAAAGCTTGCCCAGCATTGGCATAGGATACGTGTAGAGGAAGCGGTGCGTTCTGCGCCATTATTCTTACAAGCACAAATTCTAGGGTTGGGGACTGGCGCGCAAAAAAGTATACTGGCTGCGTATACCGGATCCGATCAGTACACTGGTAGCGCGGCGAAGCCGCGCGGTCGCGGCGCAGCCGCGACCATCGCCCTCCCCGGCTGGTGAAGGGGCCCCGCCGGAGGCACTCCCGGAGGGCCCCGCTGGAGGCGCCGAGGCACTTTTTAACCCCTTTTGAGGGCTAGATCGCCTTTTAGGGACACTTTTTGTCCTCATCTTCTTCACCTGCTTTGCCTCGCGATGGTTGGCACGATTGTCTCCTCCTTTGAACTACTCGACCAGGGGGGTGCCAGGGTACACGGGGACGACTCTAGTTTAGTATGGATACTTTGTAGAGTGGAGGAGTGCGAGGGTGATGAACAGGTCGAATCGGGGGGCGATTACGCCACGGGTTCAACAGCGAATGCGCCGCGTCTGTCTACCCTTGGGTGGAAAGCGCTACTAGGGGCAAGCGCGGAAGAAGTCCTAGCCCAACGTTGATGGGAGGCACCGGGCAACCTAGGGCTTGGGTTAGAAGGTCTCGCTTTCCCTCTGGAGAAATATCTTGAAAACAACCTTTTCGTGCCCCGTTTACCACGCTCCCGCCAGTTGCTCTCTCTAATCCCTATCAAATGTCCCCTCGATTCGAGGGAACATTTGACAGGGATTATATATAGACAAGAGACGGCTCAAGTGGGAAGGCAGCTCTGCACTTGCACCCAGGGATGGAACTGTCTGCACCATCCAATCAGCAGGCGTCGTTGGCTCTTTTTCTTACAATTCAGAAATTTCGCAACAACGCCGAATTTTCTGTGCGTGGTAAGGGGGTTAAAGCGATATGGCCTCACTATAGACTAATAGAGCAAAAAAAAATAGTGATTTTGGCCCATCTGACAGAGGCACCATCGCGGGGAAAACGACAGAAATTTCGAGTCCAACGACTGAATTTGTAGGTTTTCGATATGAGGAAATATTCAGCTAGAAATATTGAAATGTTACTCCCAAGCAACCAGGTGACATCCATCAGTTGGGTTGATGAGCGGCGCTCTCGTATGCTGGCCTCTACAGCCCCTCTCTCGCAGAAACACTAAGGAAGGACACAACGAAATGGCAGCCCTGAACGTATACCAACAAACCAGCTAAGCGCTAAAAAGCTCAAGAGGAAACGACTAGTCTATCAACTAGTCTACCTAGAAACGACAGGATAAGTTGCGCAACAAATGAACCACCAGCTTGATAGAATGCTCAAGTAGGAGACAAGAACAGCGCCAAAGCTAAATAACCGAAACCTACACCGCGCACAAATCACTGCCGCTAGCACCAGCATAACAAGCAGAGACTTAGGATGGCGATTCGTTGCGCCACCAGCACCCTTCAGCAGAGAACCAAATAATGATCCTCCCCATCAAAGACAGCCACTACCCTAGCCCCTCTTCGCGGCCGCGGGGGTGTTCGATTGTTCCCATTCCTCCACTATCTTCCACGACTGGCGCAGAAGGACGAGCAGCTCCACGGTGGTCGGGGCCAAGTTGTTGCGATTTTCGTGACGATGTTTCAAGCGCAGGAAAACGACGCTCGGACTCTGCCTGAGTGGCGGGGATCCTCAGCACGCGGCGAGCGAGGTTGGCAAAGTGCGGGAAGTCTGCGCACGGTACCCGCCACCAGGCCAAGGGGTCAAGGTACACCTTTGCGCCCTCCTTGTCTTCCTCGTACATCTTGATACCTGTGGACACCTTGAAGGCCGTGAGCTCCACCCGCACCGAGTTCGTGATGAGGCTAGTGGTGGAGCTATCAGCGCCTTCGCCCGGCTGCGGGGTTCGTGCGCCTCCGACCGCTTGCGCCGCCGCCATCAACCCACCACCACCTTGGCGCGGGCGCTTTCTCGAGGATTCCTCTGCGCCCGCACTGGCGGACGATGATTCCGGTCCTGCCGCTGCTTCTGGTCCTTGCTGCGACGAGGTGCGCTGAGACTTCTCCGCATTGCGGGTTTCCACCGAGATATTCACCGCCTCTTCCTGCACGAGCTTCCAAACCTCGGCCTTCTCGTCCTCGTCCACTCCATACAGGATCATCGTGCGAGGGTCGAGCGCGGTTGCTAGCACCTGCACAGGCTTGAAACCACCTGGTTGCCGCCTGGGGCCCTCCTTGTAGATCAGGATGTTGCGTCCGTCTCCATCGTCTCGTAGCGCGTTGATGCACGGCATCACCGCCGCCCTCGTCGTGTTCACGTTGGCGTCCGAGTCGGGCGGTAGCTCGGCGAGATCGTCGATCGTCGATCGCGTCCTCGAGGCTGTTGCGGAGGTCGTAGATGAAGGGTACCACTAAGCTACCAGTCACATACTTGCGGCCCTCAAGCAAAGTCTGGGTTTTCCTGAACGGTTCCAGGACAGGCAATATCATCTTAAGAACCGCCCAGTCTGCCGCCGAAAGTAGCGGGTGCAGCTTGTCCGCCGCCTCGTGCATCTTAATAGGTACCTCAAGCTCTCTATCAGTCGCGCTGCCATGCTGCATGTGGACGACCACCTGGTTACCACGTCCTGGATCACCCGCTTGTTGTCAACACCAAGGAAGGTCTTGACAAACTGCTTGAGCCTGTCGGCCGCCTGGCTGCATGTCGTGTATCGCGTTACCAAGCCGCGGGCCAAAGGCATGACCTTCTTGACCCCCGGCCCGTTGAAGTCGATGAAGGTGGTGCTTTCAAGCCGGTGGTTGCAGCAGCCGATGTGGGTGGAAACGGCAGCGTCTCCTTCGAGAAGGCGCCCCATCTTCACCATTGAAGGCTCACAGTCAGTTGTAACAGCGGTGACCTTGCCAGTCAGACCATGCTTCGCCACCGTGGCTTTGATACCAGCAGCAAGAGCATCACCTGTCGTCGTTCCTTCCGACTTACTGCAGTCCACCGAGAGAGTGACGAGCTTCCAGGCACTGGCGATCAGGGTGAGCGTCAGCGACATGTAGGTGTCGTTGGCGCAAGAGGTCCAGCCGTCGGAAGTGATGCACACCTGCTCGCCCTCAATCAGTCTTGACACCTTCTCCATCATGCACTTCTTGACAGTAAGCATGGTGGTCACGCAGTCTTTCTTCTCTGGGACTCTGGCACTTGGACGTATGGCGTGTACCATAGCCTTGAAGCTTTATCCGCTAGCATCTGTACGAGATTTTTAGAGAAAAAGGGAGGACCGGGCATGGAGATGTTTGTGACGCCGAAAAAACAGCAGCAAGAATGTGTCATGAGTACAAGTTGTCAAGGCTAGAAGCTACGTACCAAAAAAAAAGAGCGTCGGTAAGAAAACAAGAGGCCGACCTACTGGTGTATCTGTTTCTGCCATGCGTGGGGGGTGAAAGTGAACAAATTATTCTATGATTTTTCGTACTTGGCTCTCGATAGCTTTTGGTGCTTTAATGCGAGAACGGGGAAAGCATGGATGCTACATTGGTAACAGAAATCGAAAAACTTCGTTGGCATATCACTCGAAACAAAGTATATTGAGGAAGTAACACGAAGCGTGGATAATAAATTAATACGAAGTATTAATAATTTAACTCATATGTACTAATAAGAAATAAGTATAAGTATATAGGGCTAATAGTTTCTAGGTAATACCATATATTAGGTATCTAATATTGAAAATAAATACTCCGTATTCAACTACATATGCACACATGCACCTCGTACCGAGAAGGGAATGGCGTTCATCACCATCCATCGCACCAAGTGTTGGTGCCAGCCCGCGGTGTCTCTGCTGAAGAAGCTGTCGATCCCCGCCCACGCCTTGGGGCCGCTGATCGCTTCCGACGCCGCCCCCGCGGCGCTGACAGGCAGAGACTTTCCCGCCGCCGTGCGGCTTGAAGTGCAGTCAAGGTTCCATTTAGTACAGTATAGTATTTATATTCCAGTATCGAAACCCGTACTGAACCGCCAGTACCAGTACAGTATGGATGATTGAATACTGTACTGGGTCGAGTACAGTATTGAGAGCTGTACTAAACGCAATAGTACTAAAGTACAGTATTGAGAGCTGTACTAAACGCAATAGTACTATAGTACAGTATTGAGAGCTGTACTAAACGCAATAGTACGTATAGTAC